CCAAACATTGCATCGGGCAAGAACGCCGCGTTTCCCGACAGACCGTAGAAACGACATCTGTTGAGCAAACGTGTCAAGGGATACACAAGTCTGTGCGATGTTGACCTTACAGAAATAGCGCTTCAACCTGACATCTTCCGCGATATCCAGCTAAATGACAGTGAGCGCGCGCGAGCTCGCACGCACACGCACACACACACACACACACACACGCACACGCACACGCACACGGTTGTCATAGTGAAAGGATACACAAGGTTCGACTGTTTACACTGCAACGCTTGTCGTGCCCTGTTTTGCTCACTATTTATATCAGTGGCCTTTGCGGTTAGATTGTGTTTGTGTTACGAGCACGTGGGGGGATTTTGGGAGCCGGGGGGAGGGCGCTGGGGGAATTTGGCAGTGGCAGTGTAAGGTGGGCCATTTTATGTTGCCTATGTGCTAACTGTTTATTCATTAGCATTGCATCTTGGCCCCCCCCAAAAAATAGATTTTCCCCAGGTTTCTGATTGGCTAAAATGGAAGACTTGCATTAAATTTGGCGGAGAAGGCTCCACGACGGTATCTGTCATTCTGGTCTCCATTTGTTCAACTTGGAATATATACAGTCTTCCGGTACAGTAGTTACTGTTCATACAATATTGTGAGACCTGGTGAAAGTTCCCCAGAACTTTTCGATTAGTGCCGTGACCCGGATCGAGCTGGAATTGCTGCAGTTTTTGCCAAAAGATCAAGTTTTTGTTGAGTAACCATTAGCCTAATCTAACAAAACAATTTGTTGAATTCACTAACATATGTTATTATATATTCATATTATAATATACCGCATTTTCCGCATGATAAGGCACTTCGGGGTATAAGGTGCACCTTCAATGAATGCTCTATTTTAAAAATGTTTCCATTTATAGGGCGCACTGCATTATAAGGCGCATAGAATAGAAGCTACAATAGTGGCTGCGGTTGCATTATGCATCCACTTGATGGCGCTACGCTAAAGGGATTACAATACAATACAGCTTTTATTTATACTGTGCTTTCATAACCGCTGCAGCTGTAACAAAGCGCTTCACAGAACACTTCAAATACTACATCCAAGAAATCAGAATAGTGATCCATATATAAGGCGTAACTTTTGAGAAAATTGAATACTTGTAGGTGCGGAAAATACAGTACATTATATTATTTGTAGTTTGTCATATGTCTTTATGTGCGCTGTGATAGGGTGGTGACCAGTCCAGGGTGTACCACATGTTTTACACAGTCAGCTTGGATATGTTCCTGCTCACCGACAACCCTAATGAGGATAAGCACGAAAGAAAATGAATGGCACATCACAGAACAATATTGTGCTCCACTTTTGGTCGCAACATTATTGACACAGGCAAGGCAAGCTCGCGCTTCGCGTGAGTGTAGAATAAAAGCAGAGCGGCCTCATTCTGAAAGTCACGTGACCATCAAGGTAGATGGTTGAAGGAAAGGTCTGTAGACAAAATGGCTGCTGGTGGTGAACTAAGCTTGGTTGTGAGCAGCTGTCTAATCTAGCCTTCACTCTAAAAACTCACAACGCTGCGACAACAAATTTAATATTAGTGAGCAAAAGCCTGTTTTATTTCTTACCACCAAAAGCACAACAGATGTGGCATCTGTAAAGCTGGTGATTTAAGTTTAAAGAGAAATGACCATGAACAAAATGTGTTGTCATTACACACACAAAATTTTATTCAAAACATGATTCACGCTAGTTGTGTAAGCCTGTGCTGGATGACAAGCATTTTTCTGATAAGACTCATCCATCAGGATGCAATCGCAGCAACAGAAAAACCCAAAATGTGGTAGAGCGCTCAAAATCAGCAAAAAATTAACAAACAAGGTGTTGGAGCCACAAGGACAACAAAGTAAGTACGAAATCTCAAAAATATACAGCTTTACAATGTTACTTTTTAAAAAATACAATAATATATAATAAACATGCAACTTTTATTTGACAACTTTGTTGTTGCAAAGTTACAACTTTAAAAAAAAATCTGTAATATTTTTTTCCTCAAAACACATGGGAGTTTAGCTGACAAAAATTACATTTTTACTTTCACTATTAATTCATTTTGAGCTTTATAAAATTGTAAAATTTTAGAATTTAAAACTAAACCTTTTTTTCTTAAGTTTTTTTCCGTATGACCATGTTTTAAATTGTTCCTAAAAAATTTACCATTTTAATCTGAAACATTTGTTTTCGTGCAGAATTTTCTGGAAAATGACGTCAAAAAGAAAGCTAAACATGTCACATCTGTAGTTGTCGTATAAAGTGGGAGGGGAACTCTCAGCTTAAAATTAACTTCTAGAAAAGTCTGATAGGAGTCGAAAGAACATTTAATCGTGAATTAATTCACCAGAGTCTTATTATTAGAGGATAACCTCTTCGTTCGCGAAGTAGCGAGAAACGTTACGTAAATTAATGACGTTGTAAAGTCTTGCTTGCAGGTCGACACATTTAAGTAGCTCCGGTTTGAATAGTAAAACATTTTTATATTTTCTTTGTATGAATACATCAAACGAATAAACTGTTCTGACTAATTCAAACCTTGCTCGTTCTTTTCTTTTTATTTATTTACTTGCAGTGTTTCAAGCTAGCTGCGGTTGGATTTATCTGCCGCATGAGTTGAAAATGTAAAAAAAATAATAAATTGACGTAGATTGAGAAACTGCCGTAAATAGGCGCCATAAGTACACAAACAACGGTTCTCGTAAAACGTCCACTCACTTGGTTGGATGATGGAAACTGATCCGACCTCACGAAGCTCTGGTAACCGCTTCGAATTTCCGTTTGGACGACTAGCAGCAGCCGATGACACCGCGAGGCTGCTGGTGGTACGCCGCTGAACTACTGGAAATGTGTGCTGTCGTTGCGTTCACGAACCGTCAGAGATTCACCTAAACCCCACAGCTAAAGTTATTTTGCTTTACCGCAGGCAGTCAATAGTTCTTACAAGCTGTCAAAATTCTCTGTATAACAAGTCTGTGTTTTTACTGGAATTTTAATTTTGCCCTCCCGATGTCACCTCTAAGTAGGACATCTGACACTTACGTTTCCTACGAGGGGTACATAAAGGTAGCACGCCTTTCAGTGTCGACTGATCTTTTTGCGCATCTGTGATGACGCACGAGACGAGGACGCAATGTGACCCCCTTTAACGTCCCAACGTCGAATGAAGTTTAAAAATTATCATGAAATACATTCATAAACTGACTACAATCGTTCCATGTACAAGCATCGCTGGGTTACCTGCGCTACTTGTGCACCGAGGAAAAGAGACCATCTGGGTCCATACATTTTGTGCAAAGTGAGTACCGGCTACTTAATATTTGAACACTGCAGAAACCAAAATTTGTGGATAGCAAACAATAAGAAAAAGTCAGTTTTACCTACGCGATAAAAATCTGTCAAATTCTACGTTAAGTCAAATGGCTGGGAAAGGGTTTCGATTAAAAAATAATAATAATAAAGTCAATGGTATTATTTTCCTTCGGAAAATATGTAAAGAGTCTTTGAAGTGACACTCACGTTGATTTCCGATGTGAAACGAAGGTCGTCCCTGCCGTTTTGGTCGACAGGAGCTCGTCTTGGCAGGCGAGAGCTTTGAAAATGACAAACAGCCTTGAATTACAGTGGACCTCATTGGCGGCTGGAACTGATTAGACCCCAATCACTACGAGGAATAAAAAATCATACACGACTTATTATTAGAAACGTGGCTACCCCTCACAAAAAAATGTATCAAGTATTGTCATAACATTTCCATGTATTACAAAATCAATGCCATTGACATGCATTTATACTGTGCTTATCGGCGCAGTTACAGCCTGTGGCCACTAGAGGGTAGCAAAACCCAAGAAAAGAACCTCCTCGTTTCGGCTTCTCAGGACTTCTTGTGATTTGTGCTGTAATTTAGTTTCAGGGAGAGGTGGAAACGGTTTCCTGGCGTTGTAATATGTCTGACATGCTTTCGTCGAAATACCTGAAGTTAAAAATATGTAATATCACAATTTTCGCCCTTTTATGCTACTTTGATGAGGGTGTCCTGCTGGAAAGGATGAAACACTTGTAGCAGTTGATTAAGAAAAAAAAAACAGCTTTGTGAAGTTTTGCTTGAAGACAAAGACTAAAAGCTTTAATTTGCCCTTAAAATGCTTTCACCGGCGGGCTAAAGTGTATTAGATGCCGTCGATGATTCACAGCATCCCACATTAACTTTGTCAGTTATAATCCATCACCGGGTAATAGTCCGGAATAAATCTCGGGGTAATTGAGATGAATCCCTCATTTCAATGACAAGTCGGCTTTTTTAAGACCCAATTACTAGTTTGAGTCACACATGGTGAAGCTTTGGGGGCTCCTGAGATATGAGATGTTGCAGAGAAGAGAGGAGGAGATGGCGTGGGTCCAAAAAAGCGATGGATGGCTGTGAGTGGATTTATGACAAACGCACACAAGCTTTAATTTGTGCCCGGTCCGGTAATGCATCTCAAGGCCAGAATAGTTCTGCTCAGTGTTTCTTAACTGGATGTTTCTTTAATTATATGTCAGAGGCCATAAAGAGCCAGGACAAATCTGCCCCCCTCCCCTTTCTTGCTTTATGTCAGCACCCTTACTTGAAATACAAGAAGAGAAAGCTGGAAAAAAAAAGAAAAGTGGATTTATTCATTTCCATACACTCTGTTGTCGCTACGCGGAACAATTCTAACCACATGACACAATCTCTCGCTCTCTCTCGCTCTCTCTCTCTCACACACACACACACACACACACACACACACACACACACACACACACACACACACAGAGCAAGGAAACCTGTACAAATACTGAAGAAATAATGAATCATACAAGAGAACATGTACATATTCACAAATACGTCATCCCGCTGAATAAATCCGCCTTAACAAAAACCTTGTCCGCGTTCGCTGCTGTGGCTATGACACACGCTAGTAATATTTTAAGAAATCACAAATGCTGTTGTGGCGCACACTTCACAGTCCCTCTATTCTTGTATTGCCCTTTTTTTTTTTTTAAATATAATCTATGTGATGTCACTTCATCTTTGGTGGAAGAAAAAAAGATATACACGACAAAGCGCTAATGTTGCTTATGCACTGCTCAGCATTATTAGCCTTGGTTTAGGGCTCACCTGCCTTAAAAAAAAACACATCGCCACACTATTTTGTCTTAGTTGGTTAGTTGGTTGTGTAATGTGCAATGCACGCCTTTAGATATGAATTTAAATCATTTCGTGACCAAACTTGTAACTGAAATCACTTGAATTACAAATCATCATTCCGCACTGAAATAAAAGGAAATGCCATCAATACATTCAATTAAAAATTACAAAAAAAAATGTTTTATGTACTGAGAAAAAAATAGTTCTGAAAGTCATGACATAAAAAGAATGGAAACATTTTTTTGTGTCAAACTTTGCATCAATTGAATGATTACGCGGCTGCCAGCCTGGGCCACCGAGAAAAAGTATTAAAAAAAAAGACACATGGAGATACTGTACATGAATGTTTGTACAGTCTAAACTACAGCTCTTCTATGATCCTCGCAGAGGATAAAGAATATGAGTGCAGCTATTATGATAGTGAATTCCCATCTGCGCCCTTTGTGTTCAAATATCGGTTGCTTAAAGAGTTATGTATGAGTTTCCCCAATAGGTTTCGCATTAGCATTAAGATATCCGACGAAAGGCTAATCCGTGTCGAAATCAAAGTCTTTTGTGTTGATATTGGGAGGATTTCAACACTTCCACACCAAAATGTAATTTCTTTTTTTTAATGTATATTCTAGGCTGAAGGAGTTATAACGTGAATAGAAGAAACCCTAAAGACTGAAATTTTGCTGCATTGGGGAGGGGGGGCGGCAATGCCATTTGGTGGATAAATATAACAATTCTAATCCCATAAGGGGGGTTCTTGACTGTCTCAACATTTCTTTGTTTTATATCTATGGCCGAGTTTCCTACCCTGTTTTTTCCTAAAAAAAAAAAAAAAAAAAATCTGAAATGGAATTCCAACTTTACGATTGCGTTAGTGTCAATTAGTGATCAGGCGAATACTCGTCATACCAGCGCAAAAGAATCAACAGAAAGTAGGCGTGCAGTAGAAAAATGACCATTCGTTGTTTTTGTTTCCTGATGAGCTAATTTGAATTTAACTGAAAGAAAAAAATTTTTTTTTTTTTAAATAGCGACTATGCCCTATTTAAGCGAGGCTGGTCGTCCACTGGCGCTCCACACGCATTCAGCACGCACACACGCATACACACACAACCCCCCTCCCCAAAAAAAACCTCAGCAAATTCAGTGCACGCCGTAGCCTCAGCTTAGCTCGAAGCCGGATGATGACTCGATGGCGTAGAGCAGCTTGTTCCTCATCTGGTGCTGACTGTAGAACTCGGGCAGCTTGAGCAGGTTCATGCAGGTGCTGGCCGTGGGCAACCGGTCCAGGTCGGTGCCGCCGTTGTGGACGCAGAACGCCGGGTACAGCTCCTTGGATTAAAAAGATTTGTCACAGTGAATGCCTCAGAGACTGAAAGTCAAGTCACGATTCATTTATTTTCATGTGAGCATAAACCTGACCTGTAAGGTCAAAACATTCACCGGTATGTGTAATAAATCTGATACAGTGATAATTTTACAGTTTGAGGGACTCGCTGATCAGAAAAGTACGAGTCCCATTATGCATTTTGAGAGTCCCAAATTTCTAATTTTGAAATGGTCTACTTCTTCAATTGCATATGATAAGAACACAAACAACAACAATATACATTGATAATAGGTTTATTTCTTATAAACAAATGCTGCAAAAATTTTAATAATTCAGGCATACAACATTTGCTGAGAAATAGGTTCTTATTTCATGCCATGGTTCAGTCTTTGAGTTAATAAATTCTCTTTATTCTGCTTCCAATGATGCAAGGCTTTCTCAAAGTCAACTTATCATCGCAAAAAAAACGATCCAACTTTAGCTGCTTCCTCTGTGATATCTCCGCAATAAACTTTCGCAACACTTGTTCGCAACACTTGTTTTGACGTAACACAACTTGGCAATCGTCTGCTTACCGCGAAGTGAAGGCCAATCTCGTCTCGCGAGAACGGAAATCTCGTTAAATCACGCGAGATTACTGAACGCGAGATCAAAACAACAATGGCGGCGATGGTCAAACTGCGATCGTTGCTGGAAGAAAAGATTTACCGTATTTTTTTTTTTGGGACTGAGAAATTTCCTTGCGTCCCAAAAACACACATTATTTGGAACTGTGCGTCCCGCGGGAAAATTATGCGTCTGGGACGCAGAGGTAACGAGATGGCTGCTGATAGTGTTGCAAGATGGATTCATTTATTGTTTGGATTTGTTTTAAAAAAATACATTGAACGAAGAAAAAAAAAAATGGGAATGTAATTCTTTTTCAAAACTGTTCAGTTCTGTGCCCCCGCTACATTGATCACTGTACAAAGTATACATTTAGGAAAGAGAACGCACTTTAATCTAGCGGGGGAATGCTCATTTCATTTTTTCATTATTTTTTTTTCCTTCCTCATCTGCCGACTGTGACATTGAGCCTTTCCATCACGAGCAGCCGCGATTTCCTACCCGCTCTTTCAAGTCAGCAAATACCCTATCATCCCGATTAAATGGCTCTTCGGGGGCTCAACCGCGACGACCCCATTTTGCCGTCAATTACCGTATTAAACTATCGTTGCTTATTGAGAACGCGTCGTTACGGCGGCGATCGTTCCCCAGGCGAGGGGCAGGAGGAAGAAAAAAAAAAAAGTGCAGTTTCCATCATCTTTTTTAAATGGCTCTGCCTGACAGCACCTATATCTCCGCTAATGAATCCCGGGCTCCTTTCACGACAGCTAATTAAGGCGGAGCTGGTTCCAGCCAGGGGGGGCCGGGTCAGGGGGTTGCCCCCGCCGACCACAAATTAACACCCGTAAGAGGGAGGATTGCCCACTCGTGCTGGCCAAAGTCAAATGGATTAAAAAAGGAGGAGGCGACCGAAAGGTAACAGCAGGGATTTTTTTTTTTAAAGAGTTTGGGTCCTTACCGTGGTCCCGCAGGACAACCGTAAAGTTTGAGAAAGCTAATGAGACCAATAAAAATGATACAATCCCAATGGACGTCGGTTGATACTTCCCAAAGCGTTCGAGCTCAAGGCCCCAATTAGAAATGCCTTCGTGTAAAGTGCTTCACACGTTTTATGAGACTGCGACCACTGATTTAGTTTCGTGGACCATCCGGGGTTAATCAAGTACTTAAATGTGGCTTCTTTCAATTTCAGTGAGCTCCGGTGAAAGCATCAAAATAGTACGCATTTTTAATCATCCAGCTTTTGTCCAAAAATCATCAAAATGTTTTTTTTTGTTTCTTCAGACAAAATACAAATTATGTATAGTAGAGTGATCCCTCGCTATTTCGTGGTTTGTTTATCGCGGATTCGGTGCATAGTGGATTTTTTTCAAACATATTCATAAAAAAAAAAAATAATAATAATAATAATAAGAATTTCCATATACATGGAGTACAGTACTGTACATGTTGCTCTATGTGACTCACTGTTGTTTTAGAGCTTCTCACGGACTGTTTGCGGACTTTTTGCGGACTTAAAATTTTTTTTTTTTTTTAACCTGTATATGTTAATTGGTCGCTACTTCGCGGATTTTCGTTTATCGCGGGTGGTTTTGGTCCCCATTAACCGCTATAAACGAGGGATGACTGTATGTGCAGTGGTACCTCTACTTACGAAATTAGTTGGTTCTGGGAGAAATGTCTAAGGAGAAAATGTTATAAGTAGAGACGTGTTTTCCATGTAAATGCCCTAATCCGTTCCAAGCCCCCCCAAAATTCAGACATAAATGTTTCCTAAAGCATAAAAATGCATCAAAATATGGAACAAATACATGTTACAATTAGATTAGTGCACAATAAATGAGAGTTGTGCATAATATAAAGAAAAAATAAAAAAATGATGGTCATTTAACCTTTGACTGCTTCCGCATCGTTTTTTTACCGTCTTTAGTTGATGTTCTCTCTCAGTAGTGGTTTTTGCCTGGCGTTTTGTCAAGAACTGATCCAAGGACGTTTGCTTTTGTCAGCTTTAAACAATCCTTCAAAAATGTCCAAGGCAAACATCAGCATAGTGAGCGATCGCCTGACTGGTGAACACTTTTTCTGGGTGATTCACATTTACGTAAAACTATTGGAACGCCTCGTGGCCCGATGGGCGAATGACGAGGATGCTGCATAAACACAAATCTATTTATCAATCTACACACACAGATACATACGGTAGAGGCCCCTCTTAGCCAATAGGATGCCCGGATGATGCTCGGGAGTAGCCAATGGCAGAGCAGCGACAAGTATGTTGCGTTCAGGAGCTGCGAGTAGCAGACCATACTGTATTTTTACCCTTCGCATCTTGAAATTTCTTTCATAACGAGGCAATATTTTCCTGTTCAGGTGTTTCGTAACTTGAAAATTTCGTATGAAGAGACGTTCCGAAGTGGAGGTACCACTGTACTAGTTGAATTAGTTCAAAGACCCCGCTAACGGGAAGAGCATATTTACCGTAGTCTCGTGCCATTTCAGCGCTCTTGATGCTTAGAACAGGAACAGGGCATTTTAAAACTGAATTCAGCATTTTAAACTGTGTAAGCTAGCATTTCTCTTTCAGATCAAAATAAATAAATAGAATTTGGCAATCAAGACAACGTACTTCATCAAAAGTCGACATGAAAACTCACAGACGACCATAAAAATCGGAGCTAATTCAAGCATTAAAAATGAAAGTTGGTATAAAAGCTGCTTCCTGAACCATTACAAAAACACCACACAATGACTTTGGATATTACAAATTCTTTTGAAATCGGACAGCAGTAGCATTAACCCTTGGTAGCAGTCTAATAAATGTCGAGGACACGTATTGCGCTAACAGACAGACATCAACTTCTGTTCTGAGAATTCACGTTTGAAAGTTCAGTTTGATAATGACTTTAAAAAAAAAAAAAAAAAAGACAAGAATATTTGTCCGGACAGAGCTGAGCAAGGTCGTGACCTGGTGCCTGATAAGACTTTAATCGCTTATCAGACCCGTCGTATCCGTGTCCGCTTTCAAGAAGTCATCTCCTTATTTGCATTACGAACACATCAAAGCCACGTTTCCACTTAAGAGGGCGCCCGAGTTTGGCGTGGTGGTCTTTGTGTACATTTCACATCCTGTAAGCCCTTCTTTTTTTTTTGCTTACACCTGTAAAAACTGGGACTTTTTCATCGAGAATGAGAAAGGGGTCCAAACCTTAAAGCCGAGCAGAGGGGGTCTGGAGCAGCTGGTGACGAACTTGAGCAGCTTGCGCTTCTCCTCGTCTGTGAAGCCTTCCACCACCTCCCAGAAGATCTGAATGACAGGGTGGGTGGCCGTGTAGCCCCCTGCGGAGATGCAAAAATTGGAGCGCCGTACTTTTGATTCTCTCCTCTTTCATCTATAACGGCTTCAAATAACGAGGCGTACGCAGGAATAGTTGTGACGATTGTGATGATTGTCCATGTTTTATGCTCTGCGCTCCGTTATATTAGTTTTGTTCCGTTAACTGTTCTGTAAAGCGCTGTGTGAAAGCGCAATATAAATAACTTCAACAAATTTGTTGATAAAAATATGATGAAATAACGCAACAAGACGATTAAATGGTTATACACTTGTATGGTGTACTGCGTCACAGTTATAAGGGGAATGTCATCTACAACGTTGCCCGCAATTAAATCAAGTTTAACAACCCTGGACTATGTTGAAGATTATACTATGAAAATATTATTTTAAATTATGATGTATTGAAATCAATCTAAAAATATTTTACCTGTGTCTTCTATGTATTTTTTAAAAAACATTTTCCATTAAAAAAATTTTATACATATTTAAAAAATAATCAACTTCACAATGTCCGTGAAAGTATCAATAAATCAAGTGCCAATTTTTTTCAAAAATATTTTCATATTATGTTAAAAATATATACATTTCATGTTTTTCTGTTCCAGATGGAGTGTCATGTCCAATACTGATGAGATGACATTTTACGACAAATTGATCATTTTTGAAAATATGTTAATGCTTTTTTTAAAAACAATTTTAGAATGATATATATATATATATATATATATATATATATATATATATACACACACACACACACACACACACACACTTTTTTCTTTTTTTTTTAAATAAAACTGATTTTTAACCACGGCAGACGTTTGCATGGATGTTGTGCAACTTATTAACCTTGTCTTCTTGAACCACAAAACAAAGCTAGATATATTTTTTTAAATCAACGATCAGCAATTACATTGTTATTGAAAAAAAATTTTATTTTGTTTTTTTTTGTCGATAGTGGAGTTTTGCATAGATGCAGTGAAATGTTCCGCACTTGAAAAATAAAAATAACAATAAAATATGAAGTTAATTGGTAAAGTGATCAGTGAATGGAACATTCATTTGTTTAAAAAAATAATAATAATGTTTTTGAGACTGGTCCAACTTGGAATTAAAGTAGGAAGAAAATGTGCCAAAATAGCAGGGTAAAATTACAATACATGAAATTATGCTCACAAATCAAAATCCACGCAAAAGAGAATCCGGAACATCTGAACAGTAAAGTAGCAAGGGAACACTGGAATTGGTCGACGACACAAACTGACCACGTGACATTATTTCTTCCATCTTACCTGAGTAATTGGTGAACTTTTTCAGGTCATCAAGACAAATTGGCACATGGGCACCAGATATCAGCACCTGTTTAAAAAAAAACAAAACAAAACAAAAAAAGTTTCATTTGGCCAAGTTGCATCGCGGGATTGACACAAGGCAACCCCTTTGACGTTTCAGCCACCTGGATCTCCTGTTGGTCGAACATGCGCAGCCACTCCAAGTTGACCACGTTGGCCAGGCCCTGCCTGAAGGCCAGGCAGTGCGGCCGGATCTGCTTGTTGAGCCGGTAGTCGGCCACCAGGTGGATGTACGCGATGCGGTTGGCCGTGGTGACGGGAATGTCCTTCCCGCCTGGCTTTAGCTCCACCACCTGCATGCAGATTTGTGTGCCATATCATCAACAACAAAATTAATTAGTCAAAAAAAAAAAAAGACTTCATTGTACTTCCTGGACAAATTACTACTTTCCTATTGGCTAAGCTTGGGCACCATCTTGTGTCATCTAGGCACAAAAACAACATGAACTCATGAATAGCGAACCGTGACGAAAGAGGGGTTGGCGGCAATCGTGCGAGGCGGATGGAACTCAATCACAGAGAGGTAATTAAAACGTTATCCTGGAGCACTCTGATTAAAGGTGTCCTACCCCCCACCCCCATCGCCCCGCCCCCATGTCGAGTGCCCGCGGTTAAGTGCTCGGCTAAATATAGCGCAGCCAATGAACATCTGCTCCCATACAATTTGGCCCCGAGCTCTCTTTTCATTAGCTTTAGAGCAGTTAGCGCTTGATAAAACGTGCTCACAGCGGTTCATAAAGGCGAGTTTATGATGACATCATAATGTCTGCGGAGGAGGACGAGAACAACCGACGGCCGACGGCGTGCTTTACAAGAGTCTTTCGCCGCTAAATAGCGCATGGAGTTTGTCACTTTTGACAGTGCTTGTAATCGGCGCGGGTTTGAACGCGGCGATTAAGCACATGGAGAAATTGTGAGGTATGCGGTTGAAGCGCAAATTTATTTGTACCGGGTCGAAAACAAGAGTGATGTTTTTTTTTTTGTTTATTTGTTTTTTTGAATGGGTGTATGCTCAAGGGAAAGAAAGTAAGGGAGTAAAATAGTTTTAAAGATCATCCTCTTGAGGAAATAGGAAAAAAAAAAATCAGCTGATGCCTAGTCCAATATTTGGCAGAGTAGAAGTCTGATAACTGATCGATAGGCCAATAGAAGAACAATATATAGATAATAAATGAATGAACTTGGTGTTTTTGTACCGTAAATACTTTTAAAGTTTGAAAAGGCTATCTTGGAAAAGGAGTTTATCATGATTCAATTTTAAGTCCAGACCACAATTTTGAGAAAAAAAATCACGATGTGCGTTTGGGTGAAAGCGATGCGCCAGCTCAATCGAAACAAGCATTTCCAAGCTAAAAAATGTGATGGCGTTGAGGTCTTTACAAAAAAATAAAAAATCCCCCTTAACATGAAACCACAAACTAAGGGAGACACTTCAGCTCAAAATCTTAATGTCCGTATGAATAATTCCGGCCTTATGTGTGCATATCAAATCTTAAAATGATTATTTGAAAAGAAAAAATGTGTTTTTCATTTTCTTATTTCTCTTGTGACCGAGACACTTTGGGCAGGTTATTAACTCACCAGTCAGACATTACACCAGAGTTGAATCAGGGCCTCTCTGACGTGGCCCAAACAAAACCCGGATCGTGATAAGATTCACAAGACTGTTTAGTCAGATTATACAGGAATGAAAGTTGTTGCTCCGATTTTTTTTTGGGGGGGCGCCCCTCTGGACGGCGGAGAGCGCGATTATTTGCTAATGTAGAAGAATTACGGCTCTTATCTGGCCGTTTGCTATCTCGCCGGGGTGCAAACGGAGGGCAGGCTGCTCCCGGGTGTGTGCCTAATCTTCCGCAAATTGTTTTCTCGCCCCCTATCGTGTTTGCCGAGGCCGCATTGCGACTCGGCCATTTTCAGGCGCTGTTTGACGAGAGCTAATAAGACGCGTTAAAGGCGCAGAGTAAACAGTTCTAGGCTGGATCTCTGAGCATCGGGAGCGAGACGTGCCTCGGAGATGCCGGTTGCCTCTGTCAGGCGTGCTGAGATCATTTCGAGAGGAGGTGGTGCAAGGCGGGGTTGGGGGGGAGGGGGGGGTCAACAGGATGGCTGTGTGTGTTCTTGCCAATGACGCTAAAAAAGTGCTCAAACACACGGAAAATGAATTTTTAACGGCACCGAAACCTGACTTTTGTCTTACAGGGGGACCCGCGCGCAATTTGGGGTTCACAAATTCACCAGGAACATGAAGTCAACTGACATAATTTGCCTTTTCAGGACAAATAAAATGCTGGTGCGGGCTGGATGTGGGTGCCCGAGCTTTGACTTCGACATTTAGACACATCACAACCCAAGACAAAGAGAATGAGATTCAGCCCCCCCATCCCCCAAAAATAATTTTTTAATGCCGTGCCGAATTTTCTCTTTGTTACAAAGACAACTCCTTGAGGGACAGCGGTTACTACAGCGGACAGCTTATCGTGTTAACAGGTTACAGGTCGACACACTTGTGTGATAAAAATAAATAAATAAATAAATAAATTGAAGAACACAATACTCGTATTTTTGCTGATATATGTGCCAATGGACCAAAAACAAAGTTATTTGATTGGTTATATCTATTTTAAATAATCGTCCGGTTTAATCGGTGATCAGAATTTTGCAAATATCGGAATCTGCATCGGTCAGTCCCGAACATACACCGTATCCGCGTGTGTGCCGTGAAGAACATTTTGATAAAGTGACACTTATGGCCACCTAGCAAAAACATGCAATTTATAGATCAAGGAAATGTGTCACCTGAGCCTCTCCCAGATCGTTGTTGACCACGGTGAAGTTGAGACCCAGCTCCTCCACATCGCCCTCGTAGCTCTTGAGGAAAAGAAGATTCCGGTACATCTCCGGATCCAGAGAGGCCAAGTGGTGGATGTCCACGTCGGCGCTGGTGCCCAGCAGCTTGGACAGGAAGAAACTGGCAAAGGGCAACTCCACCAGCATGTTTTCATACAGAGCCTGGGGAGCCAAATCACACATCCAGTCTCAGAAACACAAATCCTGATTCTTTCAGGATTTTTTTTTTCTAGTTGGAATATAATTTTTACCTTTTTGTTTGTCTGCAGCGGTTGAGAGCAAATAAAACAGCTTGACTTTTCAAGATTTTGAAGAATGATTTTTTTCTACTTTATTATTTTTTTAAAAGCAGTCCAATTTGGCAGAGTTGTTCACAACACTTCTCTTTAAGATGGCAAATTTAGAAGACATTATCACTTTACAGGGACTTTAAGTAAACACACTGTAAAAAATCAAATAAAATTAAATTAAATTAAAAAAAAAAAGAAAATCGGGAATTGCTTTGCTGGTCGTGTGAGGTGCGTGATGACACTATCAAAAAATAATAATTAATTAAAACATAAAACACTTTCGAACGCTCAATTTCAAAGTCCCAACAGATTCAAACAGATGGCGCAAAATATCAAACCTCGCCGACTTTTTTTGGTGCGAAGATCGTAAATCTGCGCAACAAGCGTGACGGCGAGCACAACACAATCCATCCGAAGCGCGCCTGGCTTCCGCTCGGGCCATCCGGAACTTTTATAAATGCCAATTCTCACCTTGACCTGAGACACCATTAAGAAGCGGCGGTGGGCAGGTGTAACATTTAAAAAAAAAAAAAAAAAAAAAAACACCAAAGCTAATGTAGTGAAATCGTCCCCCCCCAAAAAAGGGAGCCCATCAGAGATGCTAAAATATGCGTCTCTTTATAAATGATCGCGCTAAAACCCTGACCGCATCAGCTAAATGGATTATAAATCTAGACGATTTCCATAATGCATGAATCTTAAACACACAGCCGCCGAGTCATAAATCATGGCTATTTTTTTCTAAACACGGGTTAATTGCGCAACTTCAAACATTGTCTATTTTGTATGCAAAAAAAAAAAAATAATCCACTTAGTATTTCGGCAGTGGCGAGCGCTCGTTGAGGACCATATGTGCCGCGTGGCCCCTTGAAAGCCATCAATAACACTCGTGCCGGGAAGAGGCTAAGTTTATAGATGGGAAAAGGAAGGGAAAAAAAAAACTCATCGCATCCCCCACCCCCCGACGCCACTTACTTTATTCACGAGTGTTTATTGCCAGAAATTGTGCCAAAATGACTTGGAGACGTTAAGAATTAATTATTATGCCCCCCCTCGTGGGCGTTTTAATATAAGTGAGTGCAGTGGCCGCGCAATTAACGCAGATCGAGGCACCATCAGGTGGAATAAACGGCAACAACATTGCAGGTGCATTCGCTTGGCTGCCAAATAAATGGCTTAATTTACAACATTAGCGATCAATAAAATTATAATGCCTTTAAAAGGCATCAGCATCTGTCAAAGGGTGGGGGTGGGGCCGGGGGGGGGGGGACCT